TAGTTGTGGAGGTCACTATTTTTCCCCTTTTTCCTAGTTTTTCCCCCTTTTGTTTTCTTCCCTGTAACACCCTCCCATTTACTGGTAGGACTGTTGTTAACCTACAGGGAAGACGGGGACGCACTGGTTGTTAAAACAAGCCCAGCGAGGTGGAATCAAAAATGCAGCAGAAAGAATGGACTGCAGTATCTGTTTTCTTGCCTGAGGTCAACAAGGCCTACACAGGCAACAAGCTCAGCCCAGCAGTCCTGTTACAAGAAAAGGTGAAAGCATTAAGAGCAGGGGGTTAGATCAAATGGCCCTCTGGCCTCTTCCAGCTCTACTCTTCTATGAAACTGTTTGGAAAATTAAACAGAATAGGATGGTTTTTCAAAAAAAGCAAGTACATGAAGTCTTCATAGTGCAAAGATAAATGGGCAGGACAGATCAGATTCCAGTAGGAGAAGCTTTGTTGTTCAAACATTGTTGTTTGAAACGTCTACATTTGTTGACATCTACCATATCTTTTATCACACATCAGACGCATTCCTAGGTCTGGGACAACGCATGCCTGACTCTGAATCCATTTCCAGCCCCATGCCCCTCAACATCTATGGCATAGGACCTGCATGCCTATCCATGGGTGTAAACAGAACCCTTGTTATCATGCAGGAGAAAATTTCCAAGGGGGATCGACGCTGAGGAAGGCTTCTTCACCTTTCCATGCGTTGCAACCTCACAATCTTCCTCAGCATAACAATTATGCTCAGAGGAAAAAAACCTCCGTTGGTTGGGAATGCTCTGTGTTAGTGTGCAAACTGAAAAATATTTTCTTGGAAACAATTCGGATGAAAAATAAATTGACTGGCTTTTCCTTCTGTGGAATTTAAATAAAGCCTAGTAATTATTTATAAATTTGCATATATACATACGAATTAGCGTATAGTTATGTTGTGCGGGTACCTGTTCTATAGCTCTGGTCCTTGAATATAAGTACCTAGCAACGCTCCAATAGAAATTTTAAGGCCGCATAGTTCAGATTTTATTGAACCTCAAAATACTGTATTTCAAGGAGCTTTTCATTAGGTATTTGTCTGAAGAAAAAGAACAAAATAAATGCTTCAAATTTGGCAAAACGATTTTAGATAAACCATTAACAAAAGTTTTGTTTGAAATTTTTAATTGCTGTTATAAAAGCAACCAACATATTTCTTCAGAGAGTAAACCATATTCGATAAAGGTCACAGTAGATTTAAAGGCTGTAAATACATTTTAATCTCTTTCTCAGAACTCCTGAACAACTCGAGTTTCTGATAGTCTACCATGACATTTGTGGTGTTAATGCAATCACAATAGTATCAACCTGTGCAATTAATTTGTATCTACTGCTTGAGAAAGGTCAGATTTAAGTAAAGACCATCTGCATCTTCATAAAGTCTTAACTGCTGGTTTTATATATAACAAAAGGCAGCATAGCTGTTGTTCCAGTAGAAAAACGTTTCTTTATTTCACAAGGTAGAATTAAGGTGCAATCCAGTGTCCCCTGCCCCCTGCCTCCATGCAGAGAAGCTCATGTGCATCCACCTTGCACCTCACACCATGCATTGCATTGCCAGGGATGTTTTCAGCTGACTAGATAAAGTGCTGCAGAAGGAAGGGAAGAGGGTTCAGCTGCAGTCATGAAGTCTGACACCAGCATCAGCCTGATTTTATGGGGTTTGTTTAAGTTGCTTTGGCCCAACAATATTGACAGGGTGCTGGGAGCAATACTACCACCCTGAGTCCTCTCAACCCATGCTCTTCCTGGCTCAGAAATGCCAGCTGGGAAGGTATGACCAGGTATGGGTCCAGGGAATGCATCCTTACATGAAGGGGTAGTTCTTGTAATCCTTAAGTAGACATTAGTGCAACCATTCATGAAGAGACTCACACAAGATCTTCTATTATAGGACAACTACAGTTGTGAGTAGTTCCTTCTTAGGGAAGGTACTTGAAAGGGTCATGGCTGAGCAACTGTAGGCATTCTTGTTGTGGTGGTTTAGCGAAGTCACGTTCGACCCATTGCAATCCCATGGACAACATTCCTCCAGGCCTTCCTGTCCTCCACTATCCCCCGGAGTCCACCGAAGCTCACACCAACTGCTTCAGTCACTCCATCCAGCCACCTCATCCTCTGCTGTCCCCTTCTCCCTTTGCCTTCAATTGTTCCCAGCATCAGGGTCTTCTCCAGGGAGTCCTTCCTTCTCATTAGGTGGCCAAAATATTTGAGTTTCATCTTCAGAATCTGGCCTTCTAAAGAACAGTCAGGGTTGATCACCTCTAAGACTGACTGGTTTGATTGCCTTGCAGTATGTCCCTATTAATTCTGCTTAATCTCTCATCAACTTTTGGTACCATAGGCCATAGTATCCTCCTGGACCAGCTCCCAGGGTGTTGGAGATACTTGTGTTAGAAAGGTTCTGTCCTTGCCTACAAGGTTGATTTCAGACAGTAGCACTAGGAAGCTATTCCTCAGGCCCTTGGTGATAGAGCTGTGGCTACCATCTTGCCTGCAAATTTGGCTTGACTTCTATGTGAAGCCACTGGAAGCTGTGTTTTGGTGCAAATGTGATCAGTATGCTGATGTCTGCCTAGACATCTGAATCAGGTGAGGCTGTGCAAGTACTCTAACAGGGCCTAGGCTGGAATGGGCTGGATGAGGATCATTAGACTGACGCTGGATCCTTCCACTCATTCAAGATGGAAGCTCTGTGGGTGAATGGTTTCCAAATCCAGAAGATACTCTTAGATCCTTCACCATTGCTGGAGATGTGTGACAAGTGGTCATGGTGGCTTGGAGATCCTCTTAGCAGCTTCAGGTTTGATGCAATCTACAACCTTTTCTGATAAGGGATAGCTTGGCTACAGAAGTACAGAGCTGTAACCTCAGAACTGGACTGCTGCAATGTGCTCTGTGTAAGGATGCCCTGAAAGCTGGTCCAGAAGCTGAAGCTAGTGGAGTGCAGTAGCTTAGATGTTGTCAGGAGCTGCCCCCTTTTTCAGCATTTTAACTCCTGTGTTGCAAGAGTTTAACTCCTTTGTCCCCTAGCTGTCTATTTGTTACTGGGCCAGGTCTAGTTTCATTACTACTAGCATATAAAGGCCAAAACCACATGGGATCAGAATACTTGCAAGAGTACCTTCTTTCCTTACCAAATTGCTTGGTCACTAAGGTCATCAGATAAACTGGGCCTGGTAGTTCCAGACAGGCCTATGGCCATATTGAAATGCACCCAAGGTAGATCCTTCAGTGTAATAACTCCCTCTTTGAAACTTCCTGCCCGGAATGTCAGACACACACTTAACACGTTTCTATTTAAGGCACCTACTGAAGACATTTCAGCCAACTGATCAGATGGTTTTTAATGCTACCATGTTTTAACATTAAGCTTTATTCCTGTTAAGTGTTATTAGGTTAACCCATTTACCTTTGCAAAATTTGCTCTTATGCAGATCTTACAAAGAAATACAAATCCCTAGAAATAATACATGTCTTCATCTTTAAGGTACCACAGGACTCTTTTTGGTATAACAGACCAGAGGCCTCTGTTTGGTATAACAGGCCTTTCTGGAAACTCTCTAGGAATACTGTATTCACAACAACATCTTTGAAATATTGAATATTTTGCAGTTATATTAGCTGAAGTATACATCAGTCTCGGCACTAATCTTATATATTAGTAAGCAATGCAAATAAGCACCCACATTATCTTTTTACCCTCTTTGATGGGATCTGAGTTCTATCTCCAGTACCACTAAGCAGCAGAAATTTCCAGGTGCTTTATTTTTCCAAAAAGTATTTCAAATTTCTTAAGCAGACAGCTAATGGCTGTCAATTGCAAACACAGTATTAGGTAAGCTATGTGGTTTCAGAATTGTAATTAGGCCTTTTCCAGTGATTCAAGATTCCAATAAAAATTCTATGCAGTATTTAAGTCACATTTTCCCATCAAGTGAAATGGGTCCTTGAGACAAAAAATTGGATATTTTTGTTTGCTTTGTTTACTAATTACAAGTAAAATACATATGCTAATTGAGATCATTTTCTAGAACAGAGAACATCTTGTGGTTCTCCAAACATTTTGGCTTACACCTCCTATCATCCTTCACCATGCTGGCTAGGGCTGATGCGTGTTTTGAGTGACATTTGGAGGGGCAGAAGTTGCATCCAGGACATCAGAATTATTTCTAGTGCAAATTGTCCTGTTTTATTTTTTTAGAACTATCATCACTATTAAGAACAGTGAGATCTGGGGATGTAACACTTTCGGATGGTATTTCCTAAAATAAAAGAGGAATTCCTACTGTTTTTAGAAAAGCCTAACCACTAGCACACATCCATCTATGATAGCATTAATGAAACCTAACATAACAGTTAGAATATGTGCATGTGTTAGTTGAGGAGTCAGTAGCAAGGCAAAAGGGTTAATGCAGCTGAATCCCAATAGTGCAGTCATCCAACAAGGAAAAGAATGCCAAGCATTCCCATTGGGCCTTGTTATAACCTTTGTCTGTTGCCTTTACTGACCACATGCTGCTGTTTTTTCAAAGATGCTGCAATCTGGCAGGACTATTAAATTGCAACCAAAGCACCTGTCTTACTAATCCATCCTATTGCTTGGGTCTTTGTGCAATACTACCACCGCTGCTTGGGGCTTACATACTAGGGTTCTGACAAAAACGAACTACTAGATTATGACAGCATAATCATGCAAGGGTCCAGAAGAAGCTGTTCCACACCCTGCTGTCTGAGCACAAGCTCCAAATTGTACTGAAGCTCTTCTGTCAATCCCATTTCCCTTTGACACAAATGTATGTTGTCAGGATGGGGTGGGGATTCCCAGAATAGTTATAGAAACAAAAAAAAAACACTCCATGTCCCCAGGAAAAATTAAACTTCAACTATATTGAATGTTCTGTGCATTAAGTTATCAGCAAATTAATGAAACATTAATATCAAAAGACTAAATTCAGACAGGCAATGAGGTAAAAATAAGAGTTTATTAAAGCAGAAGCACTGCCAACACATGACTGAAGCCTTCTATATACAACAGATACATACTCTAGAATAATAGCAACTCATACAGCATGTGTAAATTAGTCACATAGATAAAATTTTCATATAAAGTGGTAGAATTTAGATTTCAAAATACTAGATGGTTTATACCTACCCTCTGTGAATTCCAAAAAAAAAAAAATCAAGTTCAACATTTTAAATTTGACAATCAATTGTGAATAATATTGAATAGACAGAGCCATTAAGCAAAAACATTATTTTATCTCCTAATTATTGGTTTCTTCACCAGCAGGAGTATAATTTTATGCTTGCTCTTCCCAAATCTTCTTTTCAAATGTTATTAGGCCTCCCTTCTGTGTTATGTTTGTGTGCCTGTGCTGAAAATATCCCAAAGGCTGGGATATATGAAGAGAGGATGGTCCATTCATAATAGCTTTATAAAAATTATTCAAGAAGAGACTCATCACTGCCTTCTTCACTCACCTTGTTTGCTGCTCTTGTGCATAATATCCTTTTAACGCCCAGTGAGGGTGGGGAGTGATGCACACAGCAGCACAGGTAGATGCCAACTACCTATACAGCTGTTCAGGTGCTTGGAGTAGTGCCATTTCTGAAGCAGTATAAATAGGCAGGCAAAACAGAAAGCAGGTGCACTTTACCACTCATTTGTACACCAGGTAATAGTTGCTGATCCACATGAGCAGAAACTGAAAGACTGATTCACATATGAGTTTAATTTAGAGTGGCAAGTTTATCACCACTGAAAAATAAACATTTTCTGTTTGATCACCTTGAAAAGACAAGGAACAAAATCTCTAAAAAAAATTTTCAGGCAGCTTCCATGAAAATCCAGTTGAAAAGAAGATAAGTAGGCTTACTAATGATATATATTCAAATCTATTTCTTCTTTAAAAAGCAAGCAACACAAGCCATTTCAGAACTCTTCTGTGTTCTAAAAATATTACCATTTTTACAGGAATCTCTTAATCATGAATTTAGAGGACAAACGGTTTTTCTTAGTACCTGTCAGCATGTCAAAACCCCCAAATTATACCATATCAGCTATAGTAAAAATGCATGAATTTACTATAGTCACTTTTTGCTTTTAGTAGGCTAAAGAGTGCATTTTTAAAAAATTAACAGGCATTAGCGAAAACTCAATGGGAAATTAAAGGCACAATCATATGCAAGTTTAGACAGAAGAAAAGGCCTTTAACTCCCAGCATGCCCCAGCTGGGATATCCTGGGCATTGTAGGCCCTTTCACTGTTTAAACTCACAAAGGTTTGTGCTTTAATTATCCAACTGCCACTTTACCTTTACTATCTTGTAAGGGGAAAAGAAGGATGTGAAACTATATTCAGATAATTTCTTAAAGTTGTTAAAGTGGTTCAATTACACAACACCTAAATTTATATGTAGCCTGTAGCTGTTTGATAAGATTGAATGCTCAACATAGACTAAATATGTGGAGGCTGGAGGCTTCAATATAGAGTGACTCAAATAGCATTTAATAATATAGATTTTTTACATGACTTTTACATGATTTTTTACATTTTAAATGTCAGTTTTCTTTCCTAGCATTGACAACAATACATATCATTCCAAAACAGATAAACTCTTCCCTTTCAAATATGTTACTGTAATATAGCATAGAGGCTCTACCTTAATGGCAGTTACTTTTCTGGTATATATGATATCAAATAACAGCTATTCTCATTCCATAGCAGTTATAACTAATTCCTTAGTCATAAGGAATGACTAAGGAATTCCTTATGCCTTCTATACTCCTTACCAAGCATAACATTCCCATGATATTTTCCAATTTTGGTAGAAAACACACACACACCATATTCTTCAATTAAAGTCCTGATTAAAGAAAAGCAATTTTCCCCACTGGCAAATATAATACAATTAAATAGAAGTGCTGTCACTATAAACTTTATTAAAGTCCAAAGTCAGTGCAACACCAATTGACCATTCTTTCAAATATATTTATGAAGTCCAGCGCCACCAAGCCACCTTCATCCTATCCCACACAGCAGAAAAGGAATCAAAAGCAGGACGAACATCCAAAATGGTAAACTGATAGTTCTTATCTACTTCTCCTCCATCATAATAATCAATGACATATCGAACTTCTGTTCCACAGCGGTCAACAACCCAATCATGTCTATCAAAAGGTAGTTCATAGCTGTAAGAAATACAAACCAAAATGATGTCAGGCTAAAATAAGTAATACAAGTTTATAGATATTGTAACATTTGTATCTTGAAGAACAGAATTAAGATGTCCAACAGAATCTTCTTGTGCTATCTACTACCGGTAGATATTCGGTAGTGTATCTACTGAATACTAAATATTCCAACATAATTCTCTATCTGAAAACAGAAAGTTATCTATCATGTACAACGCACCCCATCCAGGATCGTATTCGGGCTCTTGGTGAGTACTCCTTAGCTTTACCTCCAAACCGAATAAGGGCTGGTCCACATGGGCATTCTCTAAAAGACAATTCCAGAAATGCAGAATCAGCAAATTAGGCAAAATCACTGCAATAAGAACAGAGGGTATTTGACCAAGACATGTTCAAATCACCACATAGCCAGTGATTAACTTCTTGCTCTCAGGTCTGCAACAGTAAAATACACTTGTTACACAGTTAATGTTATGCATCCAATGCAATTATTTGGGGAATAAAATACTATTATTTACATATAAATAAATAAACAAATAAATGTATCAGTATAACATGCACATTTTAAGATATTAATCCTGTGTAGCTGTATTATTGATCCTACTGAAGAAAAAAAAGAGCACCCATTTCCAAGACTCTTGAAAAATCAACAGTCTAAATTCTGAATTTATCCAGTGGCCAACATGATGACAGATGCATAGGAAAAAGTATGTTCAGAAATGTGAAATCTCTTTCAGTGAAGCAGACCTATCCCAGTACGCCCAGGTGTGTTATGAAAGGGAGTTTTAATTCATTCTCCCCCTGTCAGAAATTGCCTTCCAATAAGGGAAGTCTTCTTTTGGAAGCTTTAGAAAAGCAACCTTATCAGAACCATGGTACAGACAGAGAACTTTTCCTTTTGCCCATCATCCTGAGACTGCTTGTTACATAACAAAAGGTGGCATATTAGATTTTGACTGTGTTGATGCAGCTAATCTATCTCTTAGATGCGACAGATGTAACAGAAGCTCAGAGCCTCTTGCAATATCCTCAGTTCTCAGAAACTGAAATAGATTCTGCATCTAGAAAGGGTACCTGAGAGAAAAGCTTCAATAATGTTAGTGAAATCTCTAGTGAAAATCCACACCAACTTCTCATTTCTATTGTTCATTCAAAACAGAAGTACATGCAAATTTGGAAAGCATTAGGAGAAAACCCAAATGCATTAGCATACTATTCTATTAGAACAAAATTCAATACAAACTCTTAATGTAAATTTTAAGATTACAGAGGTACTTGCCTAGCATGAAGTGCTTCCCATTTCAAAATTTCTTTCCAAGCCTGCTCATTATTCTGATTATGAAGCTTGATTATATTAGACATATCTTCAGGTTTTAAGTCATCATCTTTCCATCGCCATCTAAAGGAAGCAATATTGAAGAAGTCAAGAAGGGACCATAGCTCAGTGGCTATGCTGACCCTGGGGAGCAAAAATCATTCAGATCCCTAGATGCAGAAAAATAAAACATATTTTCAGAATGTCAGAAAGCTGCAATGGGTATGGGGGAAGAGTGATATAGAAATCTCCTCACAGAAGGAGTTCCTCAGCCTAAGAATGGATATTGAGATGACCCATACAGCCACCAGTCATATCTCCAGGTGATGGAACATGAGGGAAAGCCTCCAGAGATTATCTCAATGGGCACAGGCTGGACATCAATTACTATCATAAAAGATGCACATGACATAAACTACATATTTGAACCTTTTAGCATAGCTGTTGATCTGAGAAGCATAAAGATCTTTTTGGTGAACCACAGGAAATCTGTGCTGTAATCATGCCTAAAATACAGTATACACACCCAATAGATAATAAAAAAGGAAGGCTAACTGGCTTAGACCATACTTTATGATGTACATTAATATCCTATGCTTAGTGGGGACTATCCTACCACTTTATTCACTGGGACTTACTCACACAGGGTCAGGAATACAGAATCACAGTCTTAATAGGCCTGGCTAGGCCCTGTTCATAAATGTGTATTCACCTTTCCTGTTACCTCTAGCACAATGTTTTCTCCTTCCCTATGAAGTTTAAACTAATGCTGGCAAAAGTGTAATAGAACAGAAAAAGGAGAAAAGCAAGATACTAGAGCAATGAACAATGAACCTAAGGACAGTTGCATGCACTTTAGTTCTTGTAAATTCTGCCTTAATGCCAGATGTTTTAGGGCAGATTGAATTTAGTCTGAAAGGATGGGGAAAGCACCTTGCTCAGTCTTCAAGGCATTCTTCAGTTCTTTCAGGATCTCTAAGCTACTCTGAAAGGGGATACAGAACTGCATTGATAGATCATTTACCCTTTTCTAAGCATTGCGTTCCAGAACATCTGTTCTGAAGGATAAACCCATTTCTTTTCAGAAGCAGCTCTAGGAATAGAAGACTCTTCTCTCACTGTAGACAATGGGAATGGCTGATCAGGAGATGGTACTTGATTAGGAGGTGGCATCTAAATAAAACAATCAGAGTAGCAAAACTGATTAGTGAATATTCTGCAGTAAAGAATAGTATCTCCAATTATCAGCTTTTCTTACTCCAGGAATGTTCCATACTCACTCTATTCAATACATATTGTAACAAAAATTCATTCAATTCATTCCAAGATTTCCAAGTGTGGTATTCTGCACAATATCCAGCACACTTGATCCTTGTTGTTCCACTCACAAGACCAACTTTTCTTACTGGTGCATAATGTGCACAACCTTCCATTTTTTATACTTCAATAGATATGGCTTTGGGGGCTGGAACAGCATCTAAGAGTACACCTTCGTTCAAGGTAAACTCTTTTTAAATTATTGAGGTGTCTTCCCAAATAAGTATATTTTTCTATACTATATTATCAGGAATAGATTTTAACATTAGGCAAGGGCTATGAGGAACTTGAGCAAGAAGCAGGCAAACAAAACAAAAAGGGAATTAACAGGTAAAATAATACATTAGAAAATACAAGCATTTGTAAAAGGATCAGCTCTTCTAAGATCTAAAAACTTCAAAAAAAAGTATGACCAAGTACATTTTCTGCATCTTAATCCTCTAAGTTACAGATTCCAACTATTTTAGTGTCTTGGAATTTCCACACACCCTTTGAAATGTCAGTCTTCGTACAGGCAAGAGGTAACCTTCTGTAGGCACTTTATACATGCTTTTCTTTTCTTGATTGGCTTTTCTTAAATTTTTATGAATTCTAAAATTTATTAGCATTATCAACACCCCTTTTTTGAAGATATTAGCTATTTACTGACCTTTGATACCAGGAGACCTGAATCCCTTTCTCATGAGTGTAGAGCCTTCTGTCTAAATAAGAGTGGGATTCTGCCTCCAATTCTTACCCTACCTACTTCACCTTTCTTTCTAGAAAAAGCAGTTACCATCCACAGGACACCCTCCATTCTGAAATCCCTAACAAAAAGCATGAAAACAAAGGACCTTCAGAACTGTCTGTCTTTTCAGGGATCATGCTCATATCCTAGTCTTTTCAAAGCATAGCAAAAAAAACTATTTGCTTAAGGATTCTTTCATCTTTCTACTTTTTATGCCTCTAACCCTTGTATAACCCTTGTTTGCTGGGTTTGCATAACACAACCCCCCCCGGGGGGGGGGGTGCAGGGTCAACATGGAAGCCACATGCACCTTGCAGCCTTATCATAACCAAAGGTTGGTATTGTGTCATGTGAACAGACCAACTTAGAATTATTTCCATGTAAGCATACAGTTCCTGTTAGTTCCTCTCTTTTCCTCACCTTGCAAAAAGTCTCACACAGCCCTGGAAATGTGGTTAATCAGCTAGAGCTAAGGATCTGATAGCTCTGTGTCACAGAATGCCCTCCATTTATCAAGCAAATCAGGTGACAAAAACTCATGTGTTGAACATGATCTCTGCAGAAACTATCTGAAGATGATCTAATAAAGAACCTGACCAATCGAGGAACATTCTGAACAACATTAGCCAAGCCTATAACAAGAATGACAGAGTTATCCCTGGTAGGAAAGCAAAATGAGTCAAAGGGAAAGAATAATAGAAGAGTCACTTATTTCACCACATATACCTGGGAAAAGGGAGAAAGGATCTGAAAAAATAGACTTTTCATCTTATATTTACATAATATATTCACAATCAAAATACAGGCACATACAAAAATGAATATATGACTGTCAACAATTTTCTAATTTATTTACAAAAACACTAAGTGATAAATAACTGAAGGACACTGTAAGTTTCTGAAATGATGCTAGTGTTGGCAGTTTCATAAATGGCAAATGTAAAGAAAATAATATATGGTAGGCTATTTCTAAGAGCTGCCAAATGCAATACTATCATATTCTCCAACACTATCAAAGTGAATGACTTTTCAGCTGGTAGATTGGGTGTTTTCTGCACTGCATGCTACACAGCTCAAAATATTCTCAGTTCAGCTGTAACATGTGTACTAGTTGGAATATTAAGCCTTTAATTTATCTTAAAAGCAAAAACAGAAATCAAAACAGCTGTAGGTCTGGTAAAAATGACCAAGTATCATTTTTATATCTCCTAGCATCACACTACAAAAAGACCTTTAAATTACCATATTGCTTGGATCAATCTTCTCATGAACATTAGACTTAACAGGGCACTCCACATATTCATATGCTCTTTCTTGATGTGCAGGGACAGCAAAGTTCTGGTTCTCATCAGGACTGGAACCTGATTTCATGTGCACTGGGCAGCCTGAAACAAAGCATGATACTGAACAGCAAAACTGTAATTTAAAGGCAAGTGAACAGGTTCTTATCTTTTTACCATACATCCTTAGCTCAAACTTTACTTCTGCTGCTATTTGCACAGCGTGAAATACCATGATTGGAAAGAGATTTTTCAGGGTAACACATAAAAGTGCAGTGTGTACTTTCTGCCACTTTCTATGGTAGCTCATCTAAATTACGAACAACTGCACAAACTGTAAACAAATGAGGAAAAACCTTATTTGCATTTAAGTCCATTAACCTCCCTCTGCACTAGTGTGCTGTAACTCACAACGGAATTGTATTTATTATGAATTAGACTTCAACACACAAACCTGTAAAGGGTACATCCTTTTCCAAATCTGCTTGAACTCGAAATAGAACACAACACTCCAGATATAAGATTATAAAATTAAAGAAGATTATAAAGAATTCAAACCCAAACAAATTAAATGAGAGATCAACCAAGATTTTGAAAAGGAGCAAAGTTACGTAACATGAAACACTAGTAACTCCTACTGTTTCCAGGTGTAAACATAGCTGGCATAGCTACTAGAATAGTCTGGACAGCAGTATAATACAGCAAAAGCATTCCAGTATCAAATCTCCAAGTCAAATTTGCATTTCAACAAAGCATTTCTCGTTTAAAAAAAATCTAAAACTAGAAGGCTAAAGAATTATAGGATAGGTGGCAACTGTCCCCACCAAACTGTGCAGCTCAAAGGCTGGGGCTTTTCACCACAGGGTGGCAGCATACTTGTCATGTCAAAAATGCAGAATTCTGTTCTTATTGTTAAACTTGTTAACCAAGCTAAAAAATAGAACTACTTCCCCAGTGTTTTTAGCTGAGTTAGCAATTACCTTCCATGTTCTTCTGGTGCATGGGACATTCTGAAGGTGCAGTCTGAGGCTTTTCTGAAACACTTGCCGGAAGTGCAATCGATGGGGAGGATGCAGACAAACCCATGATAACCTCTGTCTCTTGCCTAATATCAGTTTTGAGGGCCAGGCATCTGAAATTAAAGCTAAGCATTTAAATATGATTTACAAGTATGTGGGAAAAGTAAAAGCAGATAGGTAATTAACAAAAAAGCAGGGATTTGGTGAACTATAGTACACTGGTACCTTGGTTCATGAACTTAATCCATTCCAGGACTCTGGTCATGACTCAAATTGGTCATGAGTCAAGTTAAATTTACCCATAAGGTTCAGTGTAAATAAGGTTAATCCATTCTGTAACAATTTTTAAAAACAGAAAAATGTGAAGCAAAGTGACAACAACAAAGATCGCGGTCATCTCTCCCCCACACCCCAAGCACAAGCCCGGCCATCTCCCTGCCCCCCTCCCAGCACGACCAAGATCGCGCCTGTCATCCCTGCAGGCGCCTGTCATCCCAGCGTGCTGGGGAGTAGAGGGGAGAGACAGGCGTGATCACAGGCGCGCTGGGGGAGGGAGAGAT